CATGAAAATTCAGCCATTATCTACTCACCCTCATCCCGACGTAGGATCAGGTGAAGTTATAGAGTCCTCACAACACTTGCGGAGATCCAAGGGGAGAAGGGGTAGCAACACAACTCCAAAAAAAAAAGCGTCCAAAAACACATAATTGAAACCACAAAATATCTCCATACTGCTCGTCCGTAGTGATCCAAGTGTCCTGAAGCCCCAACATAAAAAGTTGTTTGGAAAAACGTCATTTGAACTCTGTTTTTAGCCTCACTGTAGCCTGTAGCTCTAACTGCCTCTCTGGGTACCGCGTTCACGTGTGCTTGCGCAAGACAGTGAGACATTGGCACCGTGTTTATGTGTGTGTGCTTGCTTTCACTGATCTCGCACTGGCTGGTTGGTGCAGCCTGGACCCAAATGTTTTTGTTGCCATTTGCAGAGCCTGGGCTGCCTACAGAGACCAGACTTTTTCACAGCATATTCAGAGAACATCTACTGTAGCTAGCGAATCGTGAGGAGATGTTTGCTGTATGTGACATATGACTTGACTTGTGACTTGCTTGACCTGAGCAATGACTCAACTTGACTTGCTTAGCTTATAGCAGGGACTTGACCTGACTTGCTTGATTCTCACTGCAACTAACTTGGGAATTGCTTGAGACTTGAAGGTAAAGACTTGAGACTTGCTTGTGACTTGCACATGTGTGACTTTCCCCCATGTCTGATATACACATATACAGTATGGAGCTAATTTAGAAGACCAATGACATAAAATTCTCAAAGAAGACTTGGTTCAGTCACAAAGAAACATATTAGGCAGGTTAAGGTTTATGTAGCAACGTCATAATGCAGAAACCTACATTATAACAGGTCACATGGGAACATGCTTTTAGAATTGTGTAGGAAAACAGCATTTTGACATCAAACACTTGCACCAAAATTTAAATGGTCATATTTATTACTAAGGAAAACTACAGCAAGGCCACAGAATGATATAAAAAAAAATTATTAAAAAGAGCCAACAAGAGATAGTGGACCTGCCTTTTAATCAAATATCAAAATAATTTCATTTTCTGTCTATCAATTAATCAACTAATCATTTCAGCCCTACATATAACTTCTTATTTGAAAGCAAAACATGCTTTTATGTATTTTTTCTTCCCAATCATTATACATCTTATTAATGTTATCAAGTGTTAAATGATACGAATAACTAGTTGTTACTATCAAGTTCTTTATTTATGAATATGATTTGGAGATATATTTTTGATCTGAACATCATGCCAGATATGCCTGAGTTGAATTGAGGAGGCAGAGAGAAGTAACACAGCAGTGACAGTCTTTCCATGAATATCACGGTGCTCTTTCTTTTTTTTCAGTTTGTTTTATGGTAATGAACTGAATTCCCAACTGTGACTGAAACTGAGAATTGGTTTCGAGAAAGTACATTATTTTTACAGTCAAGCTGTATTTCAAGTAGTAGCACCACGTGACGCTGAAATGCTTAAACAATTATAATAGTCTGTCTCCTGATAAGACCTGTCATTGGCGTCTTTCATAAACAGATTTACAGCTGGAGCAAAGAGCCATAATGGAGTAGCAGACAGAATATGATGAGGTGATATTGCCTTAGGGAGCTGTCTGGAACGGCAGACTCCTGGAAAGTGGAAGGTAGTGTTCAGTGCAGACTCCTAAGCTTAAAGACAAGAACATTCAATATTAGTCTGCTCAGTATGGATAAATCAAGCAGTTATTGCAGTGTTGCACAGCTGGGCTCCTTCCAGTTGGACATTAAAGACAACAGCAAGTTTGGGCACTGTCAGACTGAACCTCCTTCCTCGCAACGTCCTCACAGGAGAGGAGGAGGAGTGAGGGAAATTAAGACTGACAGAGAGTAATAAAGGGAGAGGGAGTTTCATGAATGAAAGTTAAGTGTTTCTATAATTGTTTGCCCTCAGACTTCTTGTATTGATCGCCACCTCTCTATTTCCACTTATTCAAGCTGTAACCAAATATGTAACCTCATCAAAAGGCATTAAAGGAATAGTTAGACATTTTGGGAAATGCTGTTATCAACTCTCATGTTTTGGATGCACTCTGTTTAGCCTTCTGGGCTGTGCTCGACCTGACCTGACTTTCTGGTAGACCTAAACTGAATGGATGGCAGATGACATACAATAAAATGTTTTCATATTGAAAGCATTTGTTTATGGTCTTTATTAAGGACCTTTTCTATAACTGGAGAATTGTAATTCTCACTCATCTTATTTTTCCACATAACATATATATTCTTACTCAAGGCTGACTGCGGACGCCTGAGTGAAACAAAATCACCATCCTCATGCTCTATGATAGTGCGCCAGCTATTATGGTGCAGACCAGATTTCACTGTGCATGTGTTGTACCCCACTGATATGACCTGATATGACACCCTGACTTCTCTGTTCAACCTCCATGAACAGGAAGCATGGATTCATCTATAGTTCACAAATATGCACACAATAAAAAAATGTAAGCAGGTTCAACATAAAAAAAGGAATCATTTATTGAAAGTAAATGCATGAATTGGGGAAATGTAAAACTAGCTGAATTATTTTCAATAACGTATATTTACATTAAGGTTATGATAAAAGATTAGTTGATTCCATTACGTGTGATGGTTTTTAAAATAAGCAACACCTCTAAAGTTAAATCCACATGCAGAAATGTGAAAACAATATTTTATAAAGAGTTATGTGCTGTGCCTTTGTGAACAGCACCTTCTTCAAAAATCACAAAAAAAACTGACTTTTAGTTTCACATGAACAGCAGCTTTCTGGATGAAAGTCCTGTGTTTGTTTGACCCATCCTTTACCTAACCCTTCCATCATACTCAGTCTTTCATGCTCTTTACATTTACGTTGAACTTAAAAGTCCGAACATCTCATACCCCTTTAATGTCCACACTGAGTAAAAAGCAATGGACAAAACTAATTTCTAACAGACCCCATAGTTTTTCTATGTAGGCCTCTACCAAATGGTTGAAAAGTCACTTAATGTTATACGAGAAAAACAAAATTACAAGTTAAGTACTGTTGTAATGCTGGAAACATTTTAGTATCCCAACATATATCAATTTGTTACCATGGCATCAGTAGTACTACCAGTGCTATTATTATTTCCACATAATTATTCTAGATATTTACTATTACAGTAGTTTGAAAAGATCTCAGAAATGGTGAAAAATCCACTGATGTAATTGTTTGTTTTTTTATCTTAGCATCCTTTACCATAAAAGGACAACCCTTTGATTGGGCATGGCATTAGACTGTAAAAAATCATGCTTAGAAAATTATTTCAGCATCTGTATTACAGATAACATTCTATGTATTATTTAACGTAATCACGTAATCATTTAAGTTTTTTGTTTTGTAACAAATGACCAATTTTAATTATATTAGCTAAGCTTCACTTCTTTACCATAAAAGGACAATATACTATTTGGTAGAGCATGTTTTTAAACAATATTTTGCCTTTTTAAGGGGTTTATTTTGTGTATTAAGTTACATAAATCTGTTCAGTAAAACCTCTGAAAGTATAACATGTTTAAAAAAAATACACCTACCTTTTGAAAATCCCATCATACAGAGCTCTCATGTCTGGAGTGACTTCTTTTGTTACTAAGTTCTTGTAGGAAGCGAACTGCAAAGGCACACTTTTTAAAGATACAGTGACTTGTTGTTGTTGTTTTTTGCATAACATACCTACTACTAGTTCAACACTTTTTTTATTATGGCACAGTGACTCAAAATGTGCTCTACCAAATAGCTGAGCAGAATGCTAAAGGGTTAAAAACGCTTTAGGGTGCATTGTGCATTGTTATGAAGAGCTGAGTGCCACTGAGCAGGCTGCCATATTTGACACCCTGGGATTGAGAACAGGTTGATAGTGCAGTGCTGGCAGCACAAGCAATTAACTCTGTAACCACAATTTGTTCAAAACTAAGCTGTTGAGATGGCAACGACACCTGAAACTGCAAAGCTGAAAACAAAAGTATAAATGTAAGTTTCCATGAGTTTTGAAATGACTACCAACCTTCAAACAAGGTAGCTAGGATCATTTACACAGAAACTTGAAACAATTAAAACAAATGTGGTTCAGATGACATACCATTTTACCCAACCAAGCCCTGCTTCAAACAAGTAAGATGAGCACACACAAAACACAGACATAATCAACACCTTTAAAACTTTGGCAGAAAAAGAGAGTTTATTTTGGACTCCATTACTCATAGGAAGAAGCTCATGGAGAACAGAGGTTTCCAGGGACTTTAATGGAGAAACATGAATATTATCTATCTATCTATCTATCTATCTATCTATCTATCTATCTATCTATCTATCTATCTATCTCCCTTCGAAGAAAAAGTCCTCCATAATTAATGACTTAGTGTGTCTCTCTCCTTCTGTTGTAGCTCCTTCTGTCAGCAAAAACGCTTTTCTCTCCCAACACGTTAGGGGATGCAGAGACGGATCCACCAATTTGGACCTGCTGGTCTTGGATCTGTCATTAATTATGTCCTGCTGTCATTTTGCAGCATCGTCATTTATCGTGTTCGGGCCTCCTCCCTGCCAGCATACAGATATGTGCTCTCTCTAATGAGAGAGGGTGACCTCAGTGACGCGTCCCCTGTTTGAAACGATGAAAATGTTCAACTGAAGCTGCAACGTTTCCACGACTTTTTGTTTTGATATATCAAACCTTTAGGGTTTCGTTTTTCCGAGAGCAAAAGAAGCATTTTAAAATGAGTTCTTCAAGCGTGTGTCCTTGTTAAAAATGCATTTTCGGGGAGGACACAGAAAGCTGACCTTGAAGTGGTTTTTATTTAGTACACCTCAGGAAAAAAGTCAAAGTTCCCCAGCAAGAAGTGCTTATAAGAAGATTTTTTTGCATTAGCTGGAGTCAATGCCCAGCTACCAAATGCAACATCAAGACAACAAAATTGATTGTTTTCCACATCATCACTTTCCTTGCAGGTGTGAGTTCATCTTCCAGCGGGCAGCTTCTTGTTTCAGTGGGTAGCCTGCTGGATGACCAACAATGGCACCATGTAAAGCTGGAAAGGCTCAGCGCTCACCTCAACCTCACTGTGGATAAAAACACTCATCAGGTTCAGATTCCAGCTGAGCTCAGCCACTGGGACATTCACCAGGTGAGAGAGAGGCACATATAACACACATTTTAAAGAGGTACTCGATTTAGAATGTCTTTTATGAAGCAAACACCTTTATGCTTCAAAGGCAGCTGGAAGAATCTATAGTTTGTGATTTCATGTTGGCTGCAATACTGAGACTGAGATTTTCTTTTTACACTGTCAAAACTCAAGTAAACCTTAAATCCTACAGGAAGTGATGGTTACTTGTACACTAATTTTTTACATATATGTGTTGTCTTTTGTGCAGCTAAGTCTGGGAGCTGTCCAGAGTCACGGACTGCAGAAACCCATCCTCTCCAACAGGAACTTCCACGGCTGCCTGGAAAACCTGCTGTACAACAACATCAACCTGATCCACTTGGCCAAGCAGAGCAACCACCAGGTCACTGTGGTGGTAAGTAAGTTTTGTGTTCAGCATCTTTGGAACATCATTATGGAAGTCTGCCAATCAGTGTTCATCAGAAAGACAAATAGGTGACTGTGGAGACTCGGCACAGAATGGCGTCGCTATGATAAGTTCACCTAATGACAGTCTGTTCTTGGATAGTTTCAATTTGATAGTTTTAAGTCATGAAAAGATCCAAGTCTCCAGTATTTCAAAGGCAATTAATTGAGAAATGTGTCCCCTTGATGGTCACTGATGTGGATGACTTTGTGCAATAAAAAGAGAGAAGTCAGATTTGAATTCCAAGAAGCTTCAAAGAACAAAACGTGTTCAGTGATCTTAAAATTTGTTGATGAAGGAGTTTTAGTCCCAGATACAGCTCTCTGAATACGCTCATTAGTCTCAGTCAACACAAATTTTTGATCCTGGCTCAGTTTTGAGTCAATTAAAGGAGCAATAAGCGTAACTCATCATTTCTAGATTGAAGGAATTAAAAACTTGCTATGTGAAGAACTAGAGGTGTAATTTCAGAGTAGGAACGTTATCGTGGTAGCCGAGTAGTGCTAACACTATCAGGAAAGCAGGGAAATAGCTAAACACAGCAGAGACTGAGAGTGAGTGAAAGACATCGCTAACTGCTAAACTAAGCCAAACTAAGTTGGCTGTTTAGGTTTTATTTCCTCGCCCCTGTGACGAGTGAATCTGCCTGTAGTGAAACCTGGGCTAACCGCTTCCTCCTCAGGCTCCACTTCACTCAGCTGCCAGCACAGCCAGTTAGCCTCCGCTAGCTTCCCAGCTAGTCCCAGCTCTCCGCTTGGATCCAACCGGAGCACCGAGTCCTGGTTTGTTATTCAGGTTAATGTGGGAAGAAGCAGCGGGTATATCGGGCAGCTGAGTGTAGTGGAGCCTGTAGAAGAAACACTGGGACTGTCTGGATGTAATAGTCTGTGGAGAAGCTGCGGTGCTTGGCTGCACAGACTAGGTCACTGTTGCCAACTCCTCAGTAAGAAAAGTAGCTATTGGCTGTCCTAAAAGTCGCTAGAAGTCGCTAAATGACGTCATCGCCTAATTTGCATAATTGTCCATATGCATGTAATTGTAATGGCTGCTGTAGGAGAGAGGAATAACATTGTGGGAGTGACAAAAACTGAGTAAAAAAACACCCTGAATATGTTTAGAACTACAAATGAACCTTCTTTCAGTGATTTATATTAGACAAATAAAATTTTATATTTACATCCCGCCCTGACTGTAAACCAGGTCGGGATCAGAGCGATAGATCAGCCAGCGGCGGTTCCCCGCATGCGCGATTCACTTGCAGTCTGGACGTGGAGGGGTTAACGTCTCCTGCTCTGACTGCTGCTGGGAGGGAGGACTGGGCCGTCTGTGAGTGATTTGGGGTCTTCAATAACATCAGAAAAAGTCGCTAGATTTGTCTCTAGTCGCTTTTTTGAAAAAGAGTCGCTAGAGGGGTCTGAAAAGTCGCTAAATATAGCGCCAAAGTTGCTAAGTTGGCAACACTGGACGAGGCGAGTGGGGTGGGGGGTGGAGAGCAGAGGTAGAGGGAGGTGTGGCTCATGACACACTTTGTTTTGGTCTACAGGCAGTGCACAACAGCAAACCTAGCGGAGAATTTAAGCAGAGAATATAGATGTGGTTAAGTAGGATGGAATTCATCATCATGGCAATGAGACTGCCATTTTAATGTACATGTCAAAGCCCTAGCATGGATATTAACATGAATAGTGACTGTAACAGAAGTAATGATGAGGTGAAGAATTTTTCTCTGCTACCTTCACCTGAAGGAAATATTGTAAATGGTGAATGGACTGCACTTGTATAGCACCTTTCTAGTCTTCCAACCACTCAAGGTGCTTTTACACTACATGTCACATTCACTCATTTACGCACTGGCAGCTGAGGCTACCATACATGTTGCCACCTACTACTCAGTGACCATTTAAACTCACTCTCACACACTGATGAAACAGCCATCGTGAGCAATTTGAGGTTCAATATCTTGCGTAAGGATACTTACTTACTTTCATTATGAATGAAAATAAATCTGACATTATTCATTTCCTTCTGAATGACGACTGCTGAGTCTATCTATTTAACTGACAGTTGATATGGCCAGGTACTTTGTTTGTTAGTTTGTCAATAACGCCAACAAATTAATGAAATACTCTAATTTTTTAAAGATATTTTTTGGGGCATTTTGCCTTTAATGGACAGGACAGGTAAGCATGAAAGGGGGAGAGAGAGAGGGGGATGACATGCAGCAAAGGGCCACAGGCTGGATTTGAACCCGAGCCGCTGCGGCAACAGCGTTGTACATGGGGCTCCTGCTCTACCACTAAGTCATTGACGCCCCACAATAATCTAATTTTAACTCAAGATTGACAGGGCTACCTTGTGTCAATCAGGACTTCCGCTTTGGGGTCCTGATCACCCTGTTGGCATTTATTTGCTGGCGATATCTTAGTAACAGTATCCCTTACTGTACATAGCTTACTGTAGTGTGCAGTTGTTAGAGTTTAACTTACACTTATTCTGTGAAAAAGTTTCACAGCGCTGTGCTGGATCCAAAAACTGAAGAAGCAATTCACAAAATCTCAAAACAATAGCTCACCATCTTGTTATGCTTGTGACTTACACAACCCTACACCATATGTGTTCTGCAGATGTAGCCAGTTAAAAGATACATTCTGCAGCACATCCGCTCCGTGAGTACTCCTTGTCCCTCTGTTACATCTTCAGTGTAGCCAGAATGCAAGATAAATTGACAGGATTACAGTATCTGATTACATGTTTGTGCCATGTCATCTCTGCCGTATCCAAAATACTGAAGTGTGACTTTATTTTGTTAGACACCAGCTCCTCCCTGGCACTTATCAGAGTAGTACAGCAGTAGTCTAGTAAAGGTCACTCATATGCGTGCAGATTCTGACCAATCAGATGATGCCTAACTGCGAAGGCTCTATCTGATTGGTGTAAGGAGCATGGCAAGTAACTGACAAAACAGCACCTACAAACAGAATATAATTTAATCCGTGGCTTCAAGCTAATTTCAAACTCACACAAGATAGCAGTCATCAGAGACGTAATGTTGCTTTTGCTGAAACCTTCTCATGATCCTAGTAAAGTCATCTAAGTGTCACTTAATCATGACACTAATTCATTATCGTTGTCCTGCAGTTTTCTTAATCATGCTGCCATGATGAGAAACTCTAAAACAAGTTGATGACATTTGTCTACCACAGACTTTTTGTGCTCAATATCATTATTATGCTAATGGTCACTGTCACGTTTATTACTGTCACTATCATTATTTCCATCAACTGCATCATCATCCTCTTCATTTTTACACCCGCCATCATCATCATCTTTGTCATTAGCATCATCATGTTCCCCTTCATTATCATTGCCAATGTCATCACTTGCACATTTTTGGAGCTACAAAGCCCAAAGCAAAAAACTTGAGAAGAAAAAGTAGCAGCTTAGAGAAGAAGAAGAAGAAGAAGAAGAAATCAGGGAGGAAAGGAGGTGGGGAATGAAAATGAGGAGAAGGGAGTAAAGGAGACGGGGAGGATGGAAACAGGGAAAGATAGTCATCAGAAAAAAGTTAATTTATTATGAACTTTATGTTAATGGCGGTGAATGTGCAATGTGTACCTCACATGGTGCTGTATAGAAGATTTCCCTGAATAAATTATACTAACCATATCATACATCCATTGTGCTGAGTATCTTTATTTCTCTCCAAAGGTTAGTTAGTTTGTGTGGAAGTTTAAATCGTGCTAATGCCTCTGAACTTTGGATAAAACTTTTCTGAAAACAGTTTAACAATTGTTTCATTTCTATTTGCTGATGCCATGCTGGGATTATGTGAGATAAGTGGAGAATAGTGGGTGCAAATGCTGTGACCCTGATGCTTCCGGTTTTCTAGCTTATTTTAGCTGCTCGGCTGATATCAATATGGTAATACAGATGTCCTTTTTCAGAGAGCTGCTGATGAGACCTCTGTGACATCCAGTCAAACTGAGTCAGCCTCTGCAACTAATGAATATTCATGTTTTATTATCTCTCTCATAATCATGTCACTCTCTCTCTCTCTTTCTCTCTCTCCCCCCCTTCCTACCTCTCTTTCTCAGGGCAATGTGACCTTTTCTTGTGCTGAGCAAGTTTCAGTCGCTGTGACGTTCACAGACTCACAGAGCTTCCTGCAGTTGCCAGGACTGGCGTCGTGGTCATCAGGGGTTGTCTCTGTGGCGCTGCAGTTTCGCACGTGGAACAAGGCAGGGCTTCTGTTGACCTTTGACCTCCCGCAGCACGAGGGCACGGTCTGGCTGTACCTGAGTGAGGCCAGACTCCGCCTACAGATCAATAATGCTGGCAGGGCCCAGCTGGAGCTCAGCGCAGGTCGGTCCAATCAGGGTTTTGGGGTGCCAGTAATTGGTCTAAAGTGCATTAATTGGGGCTGCCCTCGACTAAGAATATTCCTGGTTGACCAATAGTCGTCATTTAGTGTGTAGGTCTATTGTCCGTGGGACAAAGCGCAGTTTCTAATAGAGTTTTTTTTTTTTTTTTTTTTTTTTTTTTCTGCAACTAAGCGACCAATGAAATCTTGCTGGCTAATGACCTTTTGGTCGACTAACATTTGGTCTACTATCAGTAGGCAGTCGTAGTACGAATGTTTATATCTGTGTGTGTGTGTGTGTGTGTGTGTGTGTGTGTGTAAAGGCTCAGCTCTGAATGATGGTCAGTGGCATTCTGTGGAGCTGAACTCCAGACAAGATCATCTGAGCATCACAGTGGACAAAGACGAGGGAGCCACCGCTCACACCAGCATCCCACTTCCTCTAAACACAGACAGTCAACTCTTCTTCGGTGGTAAGACGGCATGACATGCTATATCTGGTTTTGTTAGCAGTTATGAACCCATCAGGTGAAAATCAAGTTTTTAATGTCATTAACATGTCAATATGGTGATTTTTTTATGCTACAACACATCATAAGCAAAATAACTAGTCACAATATGGCTGGGCATTTCCTCCTTTGAACTGCAGTGTACCAATCCCATAAGAATATAGCAAAATGAGGCTTATCAGAGGAGAAGCCAGGCTACGTATCAGTTTTTTGTAGGCTATGTTTTACTTTCACTTCCTCTTGTCAGAGCTGGTGATTGGGAACAAGGTTTGTCTAACATTAGCAGCACATTATTAGCTGTTATAATGTAGTCAAGCTGAAGGCTCATGTTTTCTATTATCATTTACAAGCAGAGCTTTATGTGTTTGATTAGCAGAGTCGAAAGTGGGCAGGTATGCGTGAGCTGCAGGCGAGCAGCGGAGGGATGGATGGAGATAGAGGCGTGGACTAATTTGCATATTCATGTTGATCTCTGCATACTTAATGCAAAGGTGTAGTTACATCTAAGCCATTGTAAAGCATGAAAATGGACACTACTACATATGTACTTTCGATGAAGAGAGATGGGTTTTAAGGGTTTAATCAATGCATGGAAAGGAACTTTAAAAGAAACTTGATTCACAGGCTTTGTGGCTGCAGTTGAGGACAGCTGCCAAAAGTTGTGCATCTTCCACTAAAAACCCTCTCTTGTCAGATATTTTAAATTGCACCTCAAGTAGACCTCAAGATGGGAAAACTGCTGACATGGACATTTAGGACTAGTTAAAATTCACTGAGGTACTCAGGTAATAATTATCATCTTCAGATCTACTTGGGAGGTTTAGTGCCACCCAGAGAGAGATGAATCCATAAAGCTGCTTAGATTCTCCCTCTCCACTCCCTCCCCCAGTTTCCTCTCTCTTTCTTTGAGGTTTTCGTCCTTCAAATGAGTTTTCTCTTCTCTTTTTCCCATTTTCCTTTTGCTCTTCTTTCCTTCCTTGATGCATTCCTCTTTTTTCCAATCACTTTCCACTTCAATGTCTCTCAAGCCTTCTTGTCTTTTATACCCCCTATCCTCTCTCTGCAGTGCTTGTATGTACTCTCCCTCCAATTAGTCTGCACGTAATCCTGCAGACACAAATAATGGCAAATGCTGTAGGTGCATACATTAACCCACTGCACACATCTCATTGTCTGTTAATGAGATTTTGGCCTTGAAACAAGCTGTTCTCGTGGACTGCTCATACGTATACCCACGAAAAGTAATGCACTAGAGTTCTTGAATAACCCATGTAATTATTAGCTATGCGCAGTCCAGAGTGACAAAGCCCACTTAGGAAGGTGGTCGAGGTGGTGGATGGGTCAAGCTAATCCAGGACTGTTACCCAGGAAACAGCTTTACATGTTATACCCAAAGTCAACACTGAGTTATTTTAAGTTACATTAGATATGTTAAGTATGTAACATTACATTCTGTAGGTAATGTTGCGTTCTATCTCAAACAGACTCTGCCCTCTACTGGACTCTATAGGTAATACTCTTCTCCAACCACGAGCACACATTTACCCACTGACTTTGCATACACGTAGCCAGGCATTTAGGACTTGCCTACCCAGTAACGTGCGGAAGCCATAGTATATAACGCAGTACCATGACACTATCTGCCATCCTCTGATCTTCAGAGACAGGTGATATGCCCACCGACCAGTGGGAGGTGGATGCCAAGGACATGTGTACAGCAGCCCTGTCTATTCATATGGTTGTATCTCTTTGACTTGTTGAGCTCCTTTTCAGGGTCTGTGGGTCGCTCCATATTTTAGTCCGGACGGGGACTTGTACAGGTGACCCTCCGGTTCCCAACCAAGTCCCTATGGACTGAGCTACTGCCGCCTATTGCTTGTCTTTCAACCCCTGTGAGGTTAGGCCATTGCTCCACCTAGTTCTGTTGCTTACCACCTGGGTTGGCTGGCAGCCTGGGTTATGAAGAAGTAAATGGGCTACAGTGACTTACCTTTAGCCAGTCAGCATCAGTATGACTGGGTTAGTGTTCTGTCATGACAGGGCGTTCATTCAGCTTGCTCCACCCACTGTACCCAAAGAGTCCAGTAGGGGGTGAAGCCTGTGTGAGATAGAACAAAGGTTATGATATTGTCACCTTAGTTATATTAGCACAGGAGGAGCCATCTAACTGCGGGCCCAGTTGCTATGACGCTGTTCACTGAAGAGTGCAGGATGGAGGACAGTGTTACAGTACTGCCTTGTATACTTGGGCTCCAAAGGTATTCTGGTAGGCACGTCTTAAATGGCTGGCTACGTTTATACAAAGTTCAGTAGTCGAATGCATGCTCGTGATTGGAAGAGTGTTACCCAAAGAGTCCAGTAGAGGGGCTTATGCTGATAGAACTAGGGTTACATTATGGTAACCTTCAATATGTAAAGTGCGTATTTTGACAACGCCCAACCATAATTCTTTAACTAAACCTAACCTAACTGGTCGGGGTGTTTTTCACAAGATATCACAGGACCACGTTCATAACTTTTTGTAAGTTATCATATAAAGTTTTGTATGAGGATATGCTGCTCGAACTGCCTTTTTGTCCAACACAACACAAGTCACATGGCAGTTCAGTGTTAAAATTGTAGAGCACTATCTCCTTATGATTAAAAAAACAGTAAGTTTGACTCCAGTAGTGACTTAAAGTGATCTTTAATCCTCAAAGTGTAACACCAAATTTTGAAAACTTCCTCCATGAGTCATTGTCCCTGCCACGAGGAAAGCAGCTCCAACAAAATCTTCTTTTGAGCTCCTAAAATTCAAAGTGACAATAAACAGTGACTCATCTTTCGTCCCTCCTCTGCTGGGAGGTGTCGAACTCTGCGCCTGATGGGCTGACTGTAATTAGAGCACTGCTGAGCCTGGAGCAGCGATGCTGTATTTGGCCACAGATTGCCACCATCCAGGATCAACCTCAAGCATGAATCACTGATGGATAAGACATAGAGCTCGTTCACATAGATTGAAGAAGAGTGGGTTTATATGACAGCCACCTCAGGTCTGCCTGTGCTAAGAGCTTAGATGAGGATAGAGAATCCAAAATCTGTCTCATCAAATACAAAGATTATGCAGGGGAGAACAAAAACATGTATGAACTTAAAGTTAGGTAAAAAAGTAGTGGAATAATAAGCCTCTTGCCAACACTGAGTCTGAAAATGTATTTTTGCTAAGGAAAGGGGAGCAAGGGAAGTCCTGTTCTCCCTGTGGAGTGTAACCAAACTGCAGCTAGATGCAGCAGTAGAAAAAGTACACACATCTAGCAATACCACAGTGTAGACAAGTAAAAGTCATTCAGTATACCTTTAAGTAGTACTTGAGTATATGCGCCTAGTTACTTTCCATCACTGGCTGCATGCAGTCTTGGGAGAGGAAATCAATCTACGGTGCTGAATGGTGATCCCTTTTAAAATGACAAGAGCAGCTTGTTAGCTAAATGCTGTGAATAATAACCCAGAGGAGCCTTCTCTCTAGACGACAGTGGCAGTCACAGTGTCTGTTGGCCTTTGTCATCCTGTGTCACAAGTGACGTCTTTGGCATAAATTCTCAACATGAAAAATATTCAGTGTTCTTTGCACCCAGCCTTGGCAGTCAGGAAGGATTTCACAGTGCGATTCAACCAAATATCATTAGCATTTTTAACACCCTTTAATGTAAGTTTTATCACAACTTTAAAGCTGCCATCCATAACTTCTCACATGAAGACGTGCTAACTGTAAACCTTTTTAGTTCATAATGAAGAGCGACTCCCACCAGGGTTGGTTTTTTAGCACACTACACCATGCAATTCTAAAAATAATCTATATATTCATTAAAAGACACTGCTGAGTTTAGCTGAAATTGAAATTTCACTTCACCACTGAATGTGCTGCAGTCTGTTTTACACTTTCTGTTAATATCAACACAGACTGCAGTATTTGCATTAGACATGCATATTGCATATTATGTCTTGGTTTCTTCCCAAATGTTTGATCTTACTTAATGTGGCTCATATTCAGATGACATAAAGATAAATTGCTCAGCATATAAACAAATACAAAGCTGCAGCCCAACCACTGACTGAGTGTCACATGTTTCCCTCCCCAGGTTGCCCTGCTCAGGAGAGCACTCAGGAGTGTAGGAACCCTTTCAAAGTGTTTCAGGGCTGTATGCGTCTCTTGACTCTGGATAACCAAACTGTTGACCTGATCAAGGTGCAACAAAGGCTGCTGGGAAACTACAGCCACTTGCAGATTGACATGTGTGGCATCATCGACAGGTTAGTCTCCAAAAGTACCAGCTGAATTACAGCTGCTCCTCCTGTTTCACATGTCCCACAGGTGTCTGCATGTCATGCCATGAAGGCAGAAATTCACATTTTATGTGCCACCAATGAATTTTATTTTTCTCTTTTGGATCTGATTGCTGTTATCATGATTGCTTCCTGGGTGCTGACAAAATGTGTTATTTCATATGATGTTGCTCTGCTGTGTGTGTTGGTTTGGTTCAGAGTCATTTTGAGATTTGAGAAAACAGTGATGGTGATAAGTTCTCAGTTTGGATTTATTTATTCTGGTTTGGACCACGTGTTTGAAAATCACGTCATAAATATATTGCTCAGAGATGGTCTCTTCTTTTGCCATCCTCAATAAGATACACAGAAGGAATTTTCTTTTGCTGCCATACTTTTAAAAGTCAGTTGAGAAGCCAAGTACAGATAGAAGCAGGGGGCTGTAGAAGTTCTCACATTTTTGTGTTGATTCGTCGATAAGCAAACAAACAAAATAACACTGCAGTAAACAAGGCTTATTATTTTTATTAACAAGCCTTGCAAACTGTCACTCTATGACTCAAGAAACATCCAGGAATTGTAATTTAAAGAACACGTCTGGTTTCATTATCTATTTTTCTTATTATCTGCAATTCTCATGATCTTGATAACATGCATTGCTGATGTCAGCCTGACATAGCTTAATAGCATACATAGAACTCCAATGAACTCTTATGTTACTATAAACTTGGTCACTGTACCCTATCTTCACTCGACCTCACATACACCATCATGTTGCCATAAATACACTCACTATTATATCATATCTACCTCTGAAAATAGACCTCTACAAAAACACGATTTCCATTTAAAAAAATGAAAGTACGTATTCATGAAGATTTACACTCAGTAGTTACACATGTGCTGAGAACCACACAGACAAATGCACTGTTGGTTTGGGTCTTTTACGGGATGTGTTGATAATGACGAAACATAAAATATCTCCAGCCTTATCTTTTAAGAAAGTTGTTTGAGAGACAAGAGAAACAAGGGAGTAAACTTGGGAGGCATACTCAAGACTCAGCAACCAGAATAAAACTTGCACAGGGTATCTTCAACCTAACAAACAGATGAATCAGAGATTAGACATGGCAGTCATTGGCCGGAGCATCCCAGTGGCTATCAGTGTGGACAGCAGCTTGTACCTTGGACAGCTCCCTTGGTGCTGACTAACTGCAGGTTCAGGACCTTAGAGAGCGCAGCAGCAGCAGCAGCACGCTATCACTCTTGTCAGAGTTTACTGCATTTGCATATTTGTGTCTTTTTAAGCCAATTCATGTAAAACAGATGAATTTACATGTACTGTGTAATGGGTGTTTTTTCTGTGCAGCATTCAAGTTCTTCTCAGCAATTTTCTGTGTACTCAGATGGATGCGTAGAGAGAAATAAAATACACTTTCACTACTAAAGTGGTGAAGTGAATGAACGGTGAATACATAATACTGCTTATAATGGGTACCACTTTACATTATAATTAAAGAGATGCAAAGAAAAATTGTGATATCAAACTATACCATCTGACAGCCTGCAGACTGGGGCTTTTTAGTCAAGGAAAAGTTCTGGAGGAGGATATTTCTCATAATCCACACTCCTCCTTGCAAACACAGTTATATAAGTTTCCAAATCTGAACCATCTCTCTGGGGTGGCTAAATCACTTGTTTATAACACGGAATGAAAAAGATCTTGTTGAAAAATCCCTCCCTGAGGCACAAGAGAAATCAGGGATTGAAAAGGGAGCACCAGCAGCCATTTATTAATCCAAGCATCCCGCTCTTTGCCTCTTAACACGCTGGCTACACCTAACTGCCTTCCTGAGGAGAGGCTAAAACTTACTGTAAGTGCTGCTAAGTGGATTAATTAGAGCTCAGAGGCAGATGTATTTCATCTCCTTGTTCACTTAAGGTGATTATCAAACCCAAAAATGGGAAGGAGGTTCTTCTTAAGTCATGAAATAGATTGAAAGAATACCACAAGTGAGTAGATGAAAATACAGCAAGGAAACTGGGAAATATTTCCTTTCTTGCCAAGAGTTTAATCAGAAGATTGAAGCCACTCTCTCATCTGCCTAATAAAGGTGTACTATGCAAGATTGTGGGGCACTATTTGTAAAAATGCTCACCATATTTTTTGGCACTGTGTCTCTTGGATGCCTGCTGCTTACCGTCCAGTACCTGGTCACTACCTTTTAATGAATCCCCGACCTAACATGAAAAAATCTGACAATACAAGCAGAGGGCACAGAATATGCAGGAAAATACACGGCCACACACTTATGCTGGGTTATAAGTGATGATTAAGAGGGATTATTTCAGTATGAGTCCATACATTCTATATTAGGAAAATCCTTCATATTATATCTCTAAATATGAAGCTGGAATCAGGATTAGCCTAGCTTAGCATGAAAACTAAAAACTTGTCACCCATAAACCCTTTTACTGTTTGTGAACAGTATGATGTTTTTTGGCGGATGGGGCTTAGCTAGAGGCAAAACAGTTCTCCACAGACATTAGTCAGCGCAAGCTAACAAGTTCTGTTGGCTTGTTTTAGACAATGGAGGAACGTGATGCGAGTGGTGCATTCAGAAGTACTCATTCTGAGTGCTGGAGTGCACTCTGGCACAAACTGGACTCTTTGTAAATTCCTAACGCTGTCGTAATATACCGTTCGGTTATCCAGAGCATCACACTTTCGGAGTGGCTGATGAGGTGAACATGACGACCCTTAATACACATAACATTATTCATCCCTACAACAGTAAATACTTTTTCCCAAACCTGATATGAAATGTGTGCTGCACATGCAAGCATTTTTGATGATTGCCTTCGTCCAGTCCTTTCGTCCTAACACATTTAACCCTTGTCTCTGTTTTTGTTGTCAGGCAGTGGCACTGGCATGTGTTCAAATTGAAGTTTTGAGCCATTACTCCTTCTGTTCTTGCACCGAATAACACATCAAGATGACATTTTAAGACTCCTTTGTAGCCTATAGCCCTATGGTGGCAAGTTGTGTTTTGCCTCCAGTTAAAAGACATCAGTCCTAAAAGGATCTATAATCAGTGTAAAAACCGAAGTGTTAAAATGAGTTTGGGGTTTTAACAGACATTATGTGCTTCACTAATTCTTAAGCCCGGTGCAGTGGCTTCCTAGAGTTGTGTTGTCACCGTGTGGTTGCCAGGTCACAGTACGCATGAATACACTAGTTTCTTTTGACACTGTCTACTTGCATAAGTGTTCCAAATGGCCACACTCTCAGGCAAGGGATTGGTATGACACAATGAATCATACAAATAAAGATTATGGCACCCTTTTTTTGACATTCTCACCCTGATGGCACTCATGGTGTTGCACTTGATTGTACACATGAACAGTGATGGAAACTATTGTGTAAAAAACAAAACAAACAACACAGTAGAGAAATTTGGATTTTGAGTTTTTGTAAAACTATTAAAAAAAAAAAAAATTTGAACAGAGCTCCAAAATCTGACAAAGGGAAAGTGTCGAGGGAGGACTTTTCTGACATTGTTTGCACACGCATTTTATTTGAAGCATACTGACACCTTTAGGACACACTTGCTTTTCAAGGCTGTGAAGTCTCTGAACTTAGTACTCCCTCCTGCTGACCTCTCTCCTCACCGTGTGAGTGGGTGTGTGTGTGATTGTGTGTTTTGAAGCGAGATAGATGAAGCTGTCAGAAGGCAGTAATTCTGACCTCTTTGCTTCTGTCAGGTTCCTGACAACCTAATAATACACCTTGTCAAAATACACACACACACACACACACACATCCACCAAAACAAAGAAACACAGGTCACCGAGAGGTCCACTTTTCTTGTTTTGTTTGACTGTCTGTGTATCTGTCTGTCTGTCAGCTGGTGACTTTATGACATGCCTGTAGCTCACTGTGACCAAAGACTCACACATACACACACATCTTACCCTTTAGCTGTGTCATCCCCAAACTCTCCCCTGTGTGTGTGTGTGTGTGTGTGCGTGTGTGTGTGTGATGTGGCAGCTTATCCAGGACTGGGTGCAGAGCAGACTGAAAGCATTAAAATACATACCTCTCCTCTCTCTCTCTCTCATGCTGTTCAGCAGACAGCAGCTATTTGAAGTCTTTGTAGGACATCCCAGTCTACCTGTCCAGTAATAGTGTGCAGATCGGAGGCTGTGCTGTGTTGGTTTAGCCAGAGGCAGTAATAGAAACTGGGGGAGATTGGATGGAAGCCCTGTGATCCAAGCTATGTTATAGGACACTGTCACACCGCACTAGAAACTTTAAGATAAGCTACAAAGTCTCTTCGCTCAGTTAATTCAGGAGTCCTGTGATCTGAGCTGCGGTGCAGTACGCTGTCACATTGCATTGCAAATTGTTAGTCAAGCTAGGAGCCCTCTGGAGATTTATAGAGGACAAAGTGTCTGCAAAACTCGAAACTTTTTAGCCCTAAAAAGATTTATAGTAGATTTAGTGATAAGGGCTCCAGTGCAGTTCAGCGTGTGACCCAGGCTTGTGTTTCTGAAACTCTGTAATTTTCCTTCTCTATGTCCCTGTTTGAGACTGCATGCTCCATACACCGCCAACAGCAAACTGGATGTTGAGACAATGACAGAAAACTCCACCAACGCTGCAGGAAAGAGTTGCCTACTGTGACCGCAGATGGTTGTTGCCAAGAAAAGTGGAATTTTCCCAACTTTTACCAAGTGCAGTGGGAGTAGGGACAAAGTGGATGTTGAAAAATCCAGTAAGTGCACAGACATTTTTCTGCCTGCTCTTCTGGTCTACTCTCCCAATGAAGATAAAGTGTTTTCTATGGGCATTTATTCTGGAGCCTGCATGGGAGAGGAAGTGGCCTGATGGTAAATTGTGTTATTTTTATGTGCTTGGCCTCCAATTAATTTACAGAGGAAATTGTGTTTAATAGTTAAATTGCCCACAGATGTGAATGTGAGCA